GGAGCGACCTGCCCTGTTTGGAGCCACCTGCCGCAGTCTTCGCGCCGGCGGCTTTTCCGACCCGCTTGGCGCCGATCTTGGCCTTGGCGCCCGAGGCCCCGCCCTTCTTGCGGGGCTTCACAATCGGCGCAGCCGGCGCGTCGACGTCCATGCCTCGCGCCTTGGCAGCCTTGGCTGCGCGCTGCGCCTTGCTGCGCTTTGCGACATCGGCCGTGAGCTCGTTCTTGCCGCTGCTGCCGGCCTTGGACTTCGACTTTTCCTTTATGATCTCGTCCAAGGATTTGTTGGCCTCCATTGCTGCCATGCAGAGTGGCTCGCCGTAGAACGCCCGGCGGGTACCGGGTACCCAGGTATTGGCGTGTTTTACAAAAAAAGAATTTTCCGAAGGTCCCCCAGCCCTTCGAGTTCGCGCGGATTTCGCGAACTCCGAACTCGAACGAACGCAGCCGGCGGGGCCCAGCCCGAACCTCGAAACTGAACGGACCGCGCCGGCTGTGGAAGGCGCGAACTGCGAAAACGAACGAACGTTCGTGAACTCCGTTCGAACTTAGGAAAAAAAGAAAATCGGCGTCAAAAGTTCGTTCGTTCGGCGTGCAGTTCAGCCACGAGCCGCGCTGAACGAACGAACTCGCGCAACTGCGCCACGTGCGCGCGTGCGGACGCGGTCTGGCCCTCAATCTCAGGTGCCCATATACACAGGCGGCACTAGCACAGTTCTGACGGTCCGCGACAGTCTGCAATCTAGCGGACTACGGGCGCGACTACCCCGGTGCGCCGCCGCCCGCCGCGGACCACTGAAGAGGACAGGGTCCCGATGGTGCCGGCTGCGCTGTGAGCAGGGCCGCCCTGTGGTGCCTGGGCGCCGTGCGTGCTGACTGGCGAATAGAATGGGGGAGACGGGGGCTCCCCGAGGCGTCCAGGCATACTAGGCCTCTAGTAGGCAACCAGGGACTATACAGGCCTGCAGAGCCAAAAAATACATATTGCGGTTCGTTCGCGGTTCGTTCGCAGTTCAGACGAACTTCCCTGGTTTCCTCGGCCTGCGGGTGTGAAGCGGGTCGGGGGGGGGGGAGGAGAAAAGAAAAGGCTCGAGTTCACGAACTAGTTCGAGGGTTCGGGCACCCAAGGGCGAACGACCGAACCGATGCAGCGAACCAAGGGGATGCCGTCCAGAGCGAACTCCGAAACCGAACGAACCGCGAGTTCACCGAACCAGTTCACGAACCAGTTCGCCAGTTCGCCGGCGAACTCGAAGGGCTGATGTAGTGCTCCACGCACCGTCGGGTGCGTGGGCGGTAAGGAGGAGCCGCGCGGCGCGCGCGGCCTTGGTGACTGACAAAAGTTGTTCAGGAATAGACTACAACCCTTCGGCGACCGTCGGCGCGCCGATACGCCCGAAATAGCGACGCAATCAAATAGCTCCCAAATAGCAAATATATCCGCGCTCTCGGCGCTTATAGCCGCGCGCCGCGTAATCACGTAAAAGCAATCGAGTTGCTTTTACGTGACGTAATATCTCGGAGTTGGAGTGTGTGAATGCGCACTCGCGCATTCGATCATGGAGAGGCACGCCCCTCGCTGGGCGTCACACTATGATGTCCCCGGCCTGGCGGAGCGAATGGCGGAGCGCGAGAACGCCGCGGGCGGCGCGTTTGTGCTCCCGTTCCCGTTCTGAGGGACTAAGTAGACGCCAGTAGTATAGTAGACTGGTAAAGCCGTAGTCGCTAGTCGGTAGTCGTGTGGGTGTTAGCTAGAATCTAGATACACGATGAGAAACCACGGTTGGGGGATGTTCATGTTGCCTGTATGAAATGAATAGCAACTTTTCTCCGCGGGGCTCTGCCCCGCCGACCCCGCGCCCGAGACCCCCTGAAAAGGTGGATTTTCGTTTCCTGTCGGGCGGGTGCCTGACCCGATCTTAGAAGGCTCATGGCCGTGACCGAGTGCCAGAGTCTCAGACCAGAGTCTCAGACCCTTGAGCCTCAGACCCTCCTAAGATGCGCGCCTTTGCCGCCAAAAACTCGGCGTCGGAGAGAGCGCCGGAGCGGTGGAGCGCGGCGAGGCTCTGCAACTCTGCTACAAGGTTCGAGCTCGGCACGATCTCGCCGTCCTCGACAGGCTCGCCGCGAACGATCGGCATGGCGGTGGAGGAGACTTGCGACTGGCTATAGCTCGGAGGCCGCCAGCCTTGAATGGGCGTAGCAATCGGAATGGCCGCCGCCTCTGCCGCCGCGCGCGCCTCTGCCGCCGCGCGCGCCTCTGCCGCGGGGGCCTCCGCCCGCCGGCGCGCCTTCTCGGCCGTCGGCGTGGGCCTCGGCCGCCGCCGCCGGGGGGGCTCGGGCCGCCGCGGGTGCCTCGATAGCCTGTCGTCACGGGAGGCCTCCGTCTAAGTGGGGCCTAGGTTCGCCGTGGAGATCCTTCGCGGCTGCATCCGATAAAGGACCTTTGGCCCGATTTCCGATGGCCGCCTGACTTTTCCTTCTTCTTTTCCGGGGTCG